GATCCATTACCGAGGTTGCAATCCTTGGCAGAAGCTTCAGTGCCGCCTGGTATAAATGTGGAAATCTGCTCTGCTGCTGCTCCCAGTACCGAAAAATGTCACACGTCATTGATTCGATTCCACTCCTCATGTCAATTTCCTTGCGAATGGAGTCTGGCGTTCGCATTTTTACCCTTCGGTTGTTGTAACGTTGAACCACAGACAAACAGACATAACACTCACAATCACATTCATCGCAAATAATGTTTTAGTTGGGAATGTGCTTGCATTTGTCATGGTGGTGCCACTGAAGCATTGAGCAAACCACCACATTTCGAACTTATCAGTGATGCCAGTTCTTTTTCACGTCTAGTTAGTAGATGTCAGCTCTTGAAAATGATAAGTGGTCAAGGTATCCCACTGGAGCCACATACCACATCTGACGAATACAGAAAAAAAAAGTTGTTGAATATTACATCAAAAGTGCTGCACATTAGTCATTCCGTTCCTTATATTACGCTGTACGATTAACACAGAATTCGAGAGCAAATCATGTTGATGACTGTAATACTCTATCAACTTACCTTATCCCTTACCCCTTTTACCAGTTATTGATGTTCAATACTTCATCATGAATTTCATTGATTGATACATATTATATTGTTTGTGTACACATTAAAGTGATGAGCGGTGGTAGAAAGAGAACTAATTAATGATGCATTACCCTGTTTGAAAACTTATTTCCAGCAAAAGAAAAAGCACAGTAAACAAACAAAACAAATCCCTGAAAAAAAGTCTTAGTTTCTGTGAATTTTTCCTACGGATCCGTATGTCTGCAGAATTCAATTAATTCTATAGATCTAAGGCAAATTTCGTAGAACCGACATCACTGACTTCCATCTGTTTTGTTTTTATTCAACACAGCTGAAGCGTTGACAGACCGATGGAAAAGCAACTGGTGAAAAAATTGCATGAACGAGGGATGCTCTGGTTGCACATCAATGCTTGGGAATGTGGATGATAGATGGTGTTAGTGCGCATGCAAAATACGCTTGACGATATTTTTCGAAGAATTTTCTTCTAAGAGTTATGTCTGTTTGTCTGTGGTTGAACCATTCCTTCGTGGTAACTTCATACCCCATTATCGGTAGGGATCTTCCTCGGCGGCTCCTCGCCAACAAAAACCATGTGGATGATTATTTCCGTAGCAGCGTTGCGTTCATCAGCACTCTTGAAATGAACATCTTTAAATCGAGGATCCAGAAACATATTTGGTCCATAAACAGGCGAGGCTCGGTAGCTTTCAAATCGGGATTGGATTTCTCTTAACAATGATGCTTGGAGGTTTCTTCCAACCGACTTACTGTCGCATAATCTTAAAAGCTCAAATCTTCAGTTACTTCATTAAGGGGCTGTAGTAGCTTGATGACTTCCTCCAGATTTCTTTTTCTCTCCAATTAACCAATTCTGAGGAGCGATCTTGGCCCGACATAATGATCTGTATGAAGTTGTACAGCTCTAGAAACCATTTAACCCACATCTATGACACAAACGTCATTCCCATATACTTTGCGTGAAGCCGAAAAATCCTGGTTCTCTGGTTCGATTGAACCAGAGAACCAGGATTTTTCGGCTTCACGCAAAGTATATGGGAATGACGTTTGTGTCATAGATGTGATTTAACCATGATAAACTCCGAGTTCCATCTGGTAGGCACAAATGAAGTAATTTTCAGAGGTGTTCTTTTAGCATAATCTTCAATCTGTAGCTTTTGCAGTTTATCTTTTGCGATTGTTGATCTCCGAAAAAAGCAACTATCTTCTTCACTTTATCTATCAGTTCTGATAGAGCGTTTGTAGTTTCAATGGATTTTTTCGCAACGAGACTGATTGTTACACAGCTAATATGTTTATCTTCAGATAATGTATCCGCAACAGATTTTAACATATTAGACGCATGGTCTGTAACAATCATGCCCACATGTTCTTTGGGTTTAAGAACTTCCTCAAAGCAAGTTGAAATGTATGCACTATTTGTGCCGTTCATTCATGATATAAACGCCCAAGTCAATCGTTTGAAGGGCTCAAAAAGTGCAAGTTACTCCCAAATAGCTCCTAGTAGTATGGCTATCAGTCCAGATGTCGGCAGTAATGGTCAAGTATTTATCTTGAATTTTTGTTTCGACACACTCGACCACTTTCGAATACTTGTCGTCAACTAGCTTTGTCATGAGCTTGCGGTTGGGAATTTTGTATTTAGGTGCCAGAATTTTCAATAAATTAACAAAGAACTCGTCTTCTACAATCGAGAACGGTTGATAATCTTTCACAATCATGAATGCGATCGCTTCGTTAATTTCTCTGGTTTTCGGTCCATTAAGTTCCCATTATTAATAAAATAACACGAGCTTAATAATCGTACTATAATATTTATTATTTGATAACTGGTTCTGCGTCATATATATAGAAGGAGCATACTACCATTTCGAACTCGAAAAAGCGATCCAAGACTATTAGCGATCCAAGATATATTAGACAAGAACATTTGTAAGACGGGCTTCAACGTAGAGTCGTGTTCTTTCTCTGTAGTACCATGAACAAGCAAATCATCCATATACACGATCACCACTTTTATCCCCTTGAACAACGACGTATAATATCTCTTGGAGACCAGTTTCATCCCTATCATCTTATATTATCATGCATACCGAAAAACCTGGCATAGTGGGAAAAATGGTTGGTATCAGCAAATAATCTGTCAAACTACTACAACAAACCATACAATACACAACACGATTTCTCGAATATTCTACGGAGTTCTTGGAAGATCTACGGTCCTTTCAGATATTTTACTGACTTTTTAAGTACTACGATTTTATAAAAAAAAAAAAAAATAACATAAAATACCTGTCCAAAGTTGCGTTTCTTTAAACATTCGATCTATTTTGGATGCCGATGTGGATGGTTCTGCAGATGCGAAGCTTGTACTGGGAGTAGGAGGTTGAGCCAAATCTTGTTCCTGATCCTGACACTTGGACGCATTTTACGACCGTAGCGTTTTGTCCTTCTGCGGATGCTTCTGGAGATGAATTTTCAAATTGGTGGTACTACCGCGACGTGGAACTTCTGGACCGCATATTTTACACTTAGCGGATACTGTGGACGTTTTCACAAAATAATTCCAAACTTCGGACATCTTCAACGAGAATTACATAAATATGTAAATGACTTCCGATGACTATGGAAGCAACAAAAAAAACTATACATTAAAACGAGCACGGAACAGAAATCATAACAGTCGCTAGGGTCGCTAGTTCGTTTCGTCTGTACACGAGGAAGTCGAAAAATGTTGAGATTAATGATTCATTGATTCCCTCATAATGTGTATTCATCCTGTATTTATCCGATATAAATGGTAGAGTAGTGTGTCAATAGTCTTCTCTTTCATTACTGCGTAATTAGCGTTGACGTTGACGGCATTTGCTCAGCCGGGAAACTCTCTTTTCACCAACTGTTTCTTATTGACGTGTGAATGAAAAAAGCATAAATCTTCCCTCCTTCATTTTCTGACATAAAAGCGCCATCAAAAAGAGTAATGTCATCATCGCCAATATTATAAACAGTGCTACCAGCAAACCGATATTAAATTCAGATTATCGTCGATATCGGATTTTGAAATATCGTTTATCGTATCGATAATTTGATCCCTATATTTATCGATAATATCGGATTTATCGATGTCGTCACAGCACTAGTCAGTCACAATTCTATGACGATGCTGCATTAGTTTAGCACAGTATTGAACAGTAGAAAGATACCATGGTCCCATAGAACGGTATTGAATGTTTCTGGATTTGTTTCACTGGTTCCAGAGCAGTGATCGGAACATATTCCGCTGAGTATGGCCAGTATGGGTCTTCATCAGACCAGAGCTTTTCATAAACATGCCAAACCCACCATGCGATAAATCAATACACATGAGAATTTGAAAATAAGATCAATAAGAGTCATGATGAGTGACCAGCACCATGTTGGCCATACCCGGACATGTTCCGGGTATCCCCGGGGAAGTGGTAAATCCTTTTTGAATCAAAATCCATCAAGCTATACATCAAATCACATGATAGTTCAAAGCCATATCCATTGACGGTTAAACTGAGTATCATAACAACTATATTGGCCACATTCGGACATGTTCCAGATGCCCTAGGAGAAGTGGACAAAATTTGTCTTGACACAAATCTCATGATGCGATGTGTTGTCTAACATTTTTAACATGTATTTTTTTTCTAATGGGACTGACTTACGGTTACTTTTCGCTGTGGGACAATTTGACTTGGTATTGTTTTTCATTTTTCTTGAAGAAACCACCTTTTTTCAATAGCACATCTCAAAAAACATAGAAAGATAAACTGAATAATGATGTAAATTCAAAATTGATAAAAATGCAGATGGGACTGACTTGCGATTACCGGCAATAACTGTAGAATTTTTTTGGCGGTTACCGGCAGTATAAGAAGTATTTAGGACTTCATTTTGTTTAGATTCCTGGCACCTTGAAAAAAATTTAAATTTATAGCTAGACAAATTTTCAAAATATACTGATTTAGCAAATTTTTGTTATTTTATACTTATTAAAAAGTGTGATAAATTGAACGTAATAAAACAAACTATTGACTCCTAGAACTAGATTTCTCTTCGATTGGAATATTACCAGTTCATTCAAGATTTTGCGCTCCTCTACTTCGAAACCGAACAATCGGTATCAGATCTTTATTTGTAATTATCCGTAAATATTGCCAAAGCAAATAAGCTACACATAGAACAACATTAAGCATTAATAGACCTTTTGTTGTAAAATAATGCCCCTGAAAATAGCAGCAGTTCTGTTAAAAATTAAAGCATTTAATTTCAGAAATAAATAAATTACTATAGTAATATTCAAACTATACATGCACTACTCCATGTGTCGCATCGAAAATGTGAATTGCCGTAATCGATTTTTTTCCCTTCAATTTCCAGTCAATCGCGCCGAGACGGCGCTATCCGATTCGGAAACCGACTCGGACGTCCTGTTCGAAAATCGTTCGAAACAAAATGGCATGCGCACCCTGGGATTGCCCAACGGAGACGCTCGGAATGGTCACGTCAAATACAAAACGCGCCTTGGTCGACGAATCAAAACCTAAATTGATTCCAAACAATGGTTGGATTGAGAACAACGTTTCCCCTAAACAGTGGGCGAAGCCTATAAAGGGTTTGTATAAGCATTTTGATCAATGGAAGCTATCAAAGCAAATCACTTTATGGCCTTGTGCTTTGATTATTACTGCAACACTGCGAAAGAAAACGGAGATGGAACTGTGAAGAATAAAAATTAGCATTTAGATAGTGCCCTTACTTATCATTTGCTTAAAGTAACTATGTTGATATAAATACTTACCTTGTTTTGCTTGTGATTTTCAATGGTAGGATTTCCTATTGTTTTACATATATGTTGCCGTGCGTACTGGTAGGTTAAACAGGTGATTTAGACTAAAAGTATTCTTCAATCGAGGATAAAATGTGATTTTGAAAGCCATCGAGTAGTTGTAGTTTATGGGTTTGCAGATGTGTGCAAAGGTGATCATTACAATGCTTAGAACAATAGACTGTGACATCACAGAAGTAGCATTGCTTAGGCAAAGAAATGAGTATAGCCAAAATTACACCAGTTTGATACATTCCCCAGGAGAGAATTAAGCATTCGGAAAATGTCATTATTTATTGCACTTGTGTTAGACAAAATATAAATTGAACAGTTTTAGCATGGATTTTATGATTTATTTAATACTGTATGCATACAGCATTCCAAGACTGCAAGTGTTGAACGAAAAAGATTCAATCGTTCGCCCTTGATTAAAACCCTGTAATTAATAGGCTGAGTAAAAAACGAAGCAAAATCAGTGAATTGTTTGAATGAACACCTAAACTTCTAGTCCAAACTAAGTTTGTTACGTAAAACGATTGAAGATTTTATGTATTAAAGGAAAATAATAACCTGTAAGTTGTCCCACATTATTCTCTTAAAAAATGTGTAAAATTCTATATAATTTTCATGTTAACTGAAGCTGTATTGTGTATTAATCCATTATTGGTTTGGTTTATGACCCGTGAGCCAACACCCGTTTACCACTATGTACTTACTGATAGCGAACAAAAAAGAAGAAGAAGCAAATACACAAGAGCCGAAACAATTTGTAATGAAAGAAGAAGTGAACGTAAGATGCTAGTATTATTATACAACTATTGAAACCTAACAAATTGAAAGATAATAAAACGTATTTTAAAAACCGGCTAAAATACAGTAAACAGTGATGAACAAATCTATTGATAGTGGCTTAAACTTACTTATCCGAAAGCAGGAACAGTTCTGTGTAAATATTACAGCAAAGTCTGATTATGAAATTCCGGAGAAGTAGGAAGACAATAGCAGCACCGGTGGTGTAGTGGTAAGCGTGATTTCTTCCCACCCCAATGGTTAATCGTTTGGGTCATGGTGTTTTGTTCCCTATTTTATTTGCCTCTATTTCGCTCTTAGATCACAACGTTCCACTTTCTCCCTTCCCCAAACTATTATGGATGAAAAAGAGCACCCATCCCATCAGGTAATTTCTCGCGAGCGCAATTCAAAAGATTTTCTAAGACTGATCATGATTTTTATAGTGTGAATAATGAGAATTGTATGAAGAAAAAACGATCCCAAAAGAAACTTCCCTAGCAATAAAACTATTACTCTGTGCTAATCTGAGTTATTTCAAAATGGGAATCCACAAACAACATAGTCAGAAACTATACCCGATCTGAACAAACTGTACCGAAATCAGAAATCAGAACAGCTAAACTACTCGGTAAGATTTTGGCATTTCTATTTAATTGTATTAAGCTACTTTATATCAAGCTCTTTTCAATAATGAATAATGCAGAACAAGTTTAAAATTGTTCTAGAGCCAAATTGGCTTTGAAAGGAAGGTCAAACTACCACCGAACAGCTCAGCCGTTCTGAATCCTTCAAGTATGAACATTATGCTTTCCCTAAGCGTTCCCTCCGCGCTCTGCCTCTGTTAACCCAAAACCCCAAACTGATTCAAAGATTATAATATAGAGAGTATAAAATAAAATATCCACCGGCACTGTATTGTCCATTCAGAAATCATTAGACCCCAACCCACTTACTTGGCCAGACTTCAGCATCAACCGGTGGGCAGTGCACTCTACACTCCAAGTTCCCTTTGTTTCAAATTCATCTCAAAGCTCATACTTTACCCATTGAGTGTTATGAACCATGATGAACCAGCCTCTGGCTGAAAGTCTCGCTAATAAAGATAAACTAACCCATTGGCAAATCAATGTTGGCACTCGTGGAGAATAGACGAACTATGAAAGTGATGATGGTTTCAAAATTTTCCACGGGGAGGTATATTTACGAGTGCAATCTTAAAATGCTTTTATTTTGCAAATGGAGCATTCTATTTAAATTTGGTTGCTGCTACAGTGGTTTCAAGAGAAAGCAGTGTAGTAATTATTGGATAGCCGGGAAAAGGTTGAAAAGCGCTTTTTAAGTTCACACGCAACTTAACAGCACGATAACAGCTATATAAAAGTGTAAATGGATATTAGACTGATACAAAATCTGAAATTTTCGCTCCACGGTGCTCTAACGGTTCCAAATTCGGGTCCTGATTAGCCTCTCAAAATTTTAACTCATTTGATAAGAAACTGACTTGGCACAAACCATTTGAAGTTTGTATGGAAATAACTGTAGGAAATCCTAATTTTTATAATGAATAAATGAAATGAGTAATGAATAAATGAAATGGGTAAAGCATTTACATTACGAAAATTGTTAGTTGGGATGTGCTTTTTAGTAGCTTTATGTCTCCGGATTTGATAAATCGTCAGTCGTAGTGACTTATTCTGGTGTTCGAGGAACCTTCGTCGAGTTTGAATTGTTATAGCATTAACTTGATCACAAGTGGTTTGTTGTTATATGAGGGATTCGGCTGTTTTATAGCGAATTCGTTTATTATTCAGTTCTAACCTGGATCAGGTATCAGGATTGGGTCTGCTTGTTTTCTGACAAACGTCAGTTTGCTCGTTTGTTTTAAAACCTAGCTCAGGTTGAGGTTCGCACTGACAAAAAGTTCGGTTTCGCACTGATAATAAACGAATTCGCTATTAGACAGTTGTTTTTATTTTCCAGGTTCATTAAGGTCATATTAAGGAGAACTATAGTCACATTGTTTACGTCGTCGGTGCCGGGTTTAAATGAGTACAACAATAACTCGAATATAGATAAAACTTACTGAGTAGAACATCATGAGTTTAATCTCAAGCCCCTCCATATTCAAGATTCTAGAATCGCTTTATTTGTTAATTTGATTACATCACAGACAAACAGACACAACACTGGCAACTTGTTCATCGCACACGCATTTAACAGTCAATCTATAGTTGGTAGTTGGCAGTATCGCCACCTGTGGTTCGCATAGTCAATAACCCTTGCGTTTGACGTTTACACACTACCGCCATCTGTTCAGCGTACTACCCATCACAGTATACTCAACAGGTGTAAAGTTGAAGTTTGTTTTGATAGTAACACTGCTCATTCGCAGCCGGTTTCTGATTGTTTTAGTCCATTCAAAGTCACTTCACTGAAGTTATTCGTGTACCTCTGTAAACTCTAGTTTTGTGAATTTACGTGGAAAGTGGAAATCAGTTGATTCGTGTTGACTTTATTTAGTTTTACCGTATATTTGGTGTTGTGAAATTGCCAGTCATCCATAGAATTTTCTGTTTGTTGTGCTAGTGGTGTTGCAAAAACCACCTTTCGATCGTTCGTCTAACATTCGACGCGCCACCTACATCTGGATTTAGTAATCTGCTTATTGGGCATTTTACGCGTATAGGGCATTAATTCCGTTCAACGAAATGACCAGTACAAGTGCGTGCGACCGCTGTGCCAAAACAGTGAAACCGGACGAAGACCACATCGAATGTATGGGGTTCTGCGACCAAGTGTATCATGTGAGATGCATTAACTTGAACTTGCCGTTCGTCAGGATTCTTCGCGAGAAAATCAATTTGTTCTGGATGTGTGATGAATGTAGCAAGTTGATGAAGTACGCCCGATTCAGAAACACTGTTTCATCCCTCGGTAACGTAATTTCGACGGTGATAGGTAGTCAGCTGACCGGCTTATCCGAGCTGAAAACCGAAATGGCCAAAAACAACAATCAGGTCGCTCAACTCACTCACATAGTTAATGCTGCTACCCCAGGTACATCTGCTAGACCGAATCATGATCGCCTCTCAAAACGCCGTCGAGGTGATACGGAAACACCGACTAAACCGACTACTGGAACAAGAGTCATTGGAACTAGCGATACGCTCGCTGTCAATGCTCCATCAAGCCTGTTTTGGGTTTACCTTTCCCGGTTTCACCCCAGTGTTAAGAGAGATGTGGTTGAGAAACTTGTTCGTGATGGACTGCGAACGACTGAACCAGTTAAAGTCGTCTCTTTAGTGAAAAAAGCCACCGACCCACTATCGATGAACTTCATTTCCTACAAGGTCGGCATTCCAATGAAACTAAAAGAGAACGCTTTGAACCCTGAAACTTGGCCACAGGGGATTGTATACAGAGAATTCGAGGATACTCAGGTGAAAAACAATGTGTGGCTACCTCCTGATATCCCAGCACTCCCTGCTGTTCCAGAGACTATTCCGGGTGGCTCTCCAACGGGCACACCGTTTGGGACACCAGCACCTCTCGATATGCCAGTCCCTTTAGGTACACCCAGTATAACAGTCACCCCTTAATCCCCTCATCTGACGAATCAACAATGCCCCCGAGACGCACCGTAGAAAGTCTGATGGAAGCCCCCGATCGCCCCAACACAGTCCCGCCTACCGCCGCCTTCGTTCAACATAGTCGTCTCGGCCCTGTAGTTGGTGGTGGAAAGGGGGTCTTCCACCATGCTTGCATAGGCAAGTACCTCTGTGATTTAAGTTTATCGTTGCGTGATGAGTTCTCCCATACTCAGGTTATTCTGACCCCGGTCCAAAGCGAATTTTCGGTGATGCCCTCTGAAAATCTATTGAGGCAAATTACTTCTCAACCAGGACGCAACGTAGAAAGCATTTTGGGAGTCCCCAGTTCCTCTAAATCAGTCGCGCCTATTGCAGCCAGCGTTCATCCAAGTCGTCCTGGCCCTGAGTTTAGATGTGGATTGAGGGTCTCCCAGCCTGCTATATTAGGCAAGTACACACTTACTAGCGAACTTTCACTGCCTGATGATGATCATAATTCCAGTGCCTTCAACTCACCTCAAACATCTGCCAGTCGGCAACATGGAGCCACCACAGTCAACTGCACTCCGGGACGCATTCTTGCCGTCCGCCCTGAGGAAGCCCCTATTCCACTCATCGCAGTCGAGCCCCTCCTGCCAGCAACCAGCAGTTGTCCCGGCCCTGCGTTTGAGATGGGAGAAGGGATCTTCCACATTACTGTTATTGGCAACGGCCCTACTCGAACATCCTTCCTCCGTCAAGTGACATTTACCAGCTCCCAAATGCAACTACACGCTGAACCTTCCGTTGTTCCCGAACAGCGGAGGTCGGACATAACGATTCACTATCAGAACGTTGGTGGTATGAACGGCCTCGTGGAAGATTATCATCTGGCCGTCATGGATCACTGCTACGACATTTTAGTTTTGACCGAAACATGGCTCAATTATTGAACCATTTCAGACTATGTCTTTGGTGCTGGCTACGAAATATTTCGCTGCGATCGAAACACGAATAATAGTAGGAAAACTCGGTTATCGAGGACGATTCCTGGAACAGGGTTGAACAAATGTGGGTGGCTATTCAACTTGGTGATCGTCAATTGCTACTCTGTGCAGTGTACATTCCTCCAGATCGAACCCGTGACTTGGAGCTTATTGACGCACATTGTCGATCCGTCTTGGCCGCTTCAGACAAAGCAGGCCCTTCCGACGAAGTTATTGTTCTTGACGATTTTAACCTACCGAACATTGCATGGACTCCAACCCATAGTGGTTTCTTTTGTCCTGATCACGAGCGTTCATCTTTCCACGTAGGAACCATCCAGCTCCTGGACAGTTATAGCATAGAAGTAACTCTAAGACCACTGGGTCCCGAAGAAAATCATTATTATTTTTGGCTCACTCAGTACCAGAACAACGGTCCCAAGCAGTCCCAAGCTATTTCACTCACCCCTGCATGTTCTGCATGAATCCACACACCCCTGATGTTATCTGTCAAACTTTCATAGCGAATCAAAACAAACATAGTGTAGTAATAGAATTTCAACTAGAATAGGGTACGTTAATCGTTTGCTTGGGACCAATAGGCTACTAAAGTGGTGAGCCAATTTAAAATCGTTAGTTTCGTATTGATTGTTGGTTATAGTACCGCAATTCTGTCACAAATCAATGGCCTGTTGAATGAAAACAACCGCACCCTGGATCTCTGCTTCGTGAGTGCTCGTGATACAGCTCCTTTCCTCTCCACGGCACCCGAACCTTTAGTCAAGGTAGTGCATCATCACCCTGCTTTAGTTATCGTGATCGAAAATAATATTGTCCATGATTTCACCAGCACTCCAAACGCTGTGTCATATGACTTCCGTAGAGCTGACCATTGCAGTATCGTCCATGTGCTGTCTAATCTAGATTGGGAGCATATTTTGGATCCTGTAAACGTCAACATTGCTGGACAAACCTTTTCTCACGTCTTGGCATATGTCATTGACAGACACGTTTCCAAAAAGATCATCCATATCGACTCTCGCGTCCCGTGGATGACGAAAGATCTTCGCTCGTTGAAAAGAACTAAGAAGGCTGCTCTCAGAAGATTTACTAAACTCCGCACACTGCCACTGAAATGCTACTATGTCAGACTCAACCACGAGTATAAGCGGTTAAGTCGTCTCTGTTTTCAACGCTATCAAAGGAAGATTCAACGGCGGCTAAAATCACACCCGAAATCCTTCTGGAACTTCGTAAATGAGCAACGCAGGGAAGTCGGCTTACCCTCTTCCATGATTTTTAATGGTGAAACTGCTGGAAATCAACAACACATTTGCAACCTGTTCTCAGCCAAATTTGCTAGTGTGTTTGAAGCCGAGCAACTCTCCGCTAATATCATTACTTCCGCGGCCAGTAATGTTCCTTTGATCAACCAAACGCTCAGCATGGTCGAAGCCACTACAGATACGATTTCTAGAGCAGCATCTAAACTTAAGACTTCAACTAAGGCTGGACCCGATGGTGTTCCGTCGATTATTCTTAAAAAGAACATCACTTGTCTTTTAGATCCACTGCGCCGCATATTCCAGCTCTCTCTTTCCAGCGGCATCTTTCCGTCTTGCTGGAAGACTGCGGATATGTTTCCTGTTCATAAAAAGGGAAGCAAACGCGACGTAAACAACTACCGGGGAATCACGTCGCTGAGTGCTGTATCAAAACTTTTTGAATTGGTTGTCATAGAGTCCCTAACTGCGCATTGCAGGCAATATCTAAGTACAGATCAACACGGATTCATAACTGGGCGTTCCACAACTACGAACCTGCTGTGCCTAACGTCTTACATCACAGACAGTTTGATTGCTCGGACCCAAACGGACGTTATCTACACAGATCTTACGGCAGCCTTCGATAAGCTGAACCACGAAATTGCGATCGCTAAGCTTGATAGGCTAGGGATCGGTGGAAATCTTTTGAGATGGTTTCGTTCATACCTCACGGAGCGCCAATTGACAGTAACTTTGAGTACTTGTCGCTCAGCTAGCTTCTGCGCAAAGTCCGGTATACCTCAGGGCAGCCATCTGGGACCATTGGTATTTCTCCTCTACTTCGACGACGTTCACCATGTTATCACAGAGCCACGATTATCGTTTGCAGACGATCTGAAAGTTTTTCTGCGCATCCGCTCACTCGCCGACTGCCGTTCTCTCCAAAATCAGATTGACATCTTTGCTGACTGGTGTAGTCTAAACCGACTGGTGGTCAACCCACCTAAGTGTACAGTTATTACTTTCTCACGCAAGAAACAACCGATTATTTTCAACTACAAACTACTACACAGTAAAAAAATATGAATATTACACGCAACGTAAATTATGCAAACATGTAAATAAATAGCAACGTAATCTTTTTGTACACATAATTTTGAGTAAAAAATCACGCACACTAAAAGCCATCTTTTTTTACTTAAAAATATATCGTTCTTGGTTGAATTTTACCCGAATGTAGGGCTTTATCATCGGCATGTAAAATTCAATCTTCAAACATGTAAATTCCCAGGAACCAAACCATATGTTTACACACCAGTGTAATTTTGAAGCAACCTTCATCTAAATCTGAACATATTTTTTTTATCAGTCGTGCTTCGTTGGTGTCAATCGTTCTTCAAACGCGCGTCGCGTCATGTAGTGAAAAAAATGTCCGCGATCAAGTGTAATTTTTGTGAGTTGCAGATTTCTGATATTGATTATTTAATCCGTCACTTGCGCGTCCACAAACAGTGGACAATTACAGAGTGTGCTTTTTTATGTGGAATTAGTTTTAAATCGTTTCGCGCGTACAAAAACCATTTGCGACACCGCCATTTTCGGATGAGAAATCCGATACAGAAGCTGTTCGAATGCTCCGTCAATTCATGTGGTTTTATTGAAGCTGACTTCAAAATAATGATGAAGCACTTGAATCAGCATTTGTCAGCAGGGCAACCCGTTTTTTGTCCCTTCGGATGCCGAAAAGAAAAGCCTTTTTTCACCGTCAACAGCCTCAAAATCCACAAAATGTATTTCCACCGGAATGGAAATTCGAGAGGAATTGATAAAAGCAAAAGTTCCAAGTTTCAAGAGCCTTTTTTATGTGGGGAAGACCCTGTAGTGATAGATTCCGGAAGTAACGGGGAAGAAATGGCGGAGAGTGTTGGAATAATTGAGAACAATGATCCTTCGAGCAAAATCGTTTCTTTATTTGGATCTCTTTTCCTGAAATTGTTGTCGAAAAACCATGTTACAGATACAGCTATTCAGGAAATCGTTTCCGCTTTAGGAGAAGCTGCCATTTTGCAAGCTGATTTCCACAAAAACTGCTCTGATGTAACCGTCAACGATTCAGTTTGTTTTGAAAACCAACAATCATGCGAAACAAATCTTTTTAAATACATGTTTGGTGCCAAAGGTGTTTTCCGGTCATCGTACATGCGGAAAAAGTTCTTTCGTGACAACTACAAATTCGTTCCTCCGATTCAGGTGTCACTCCAAAGAGATCAAGAGCACAAGGAAAGTTTTTATTTCTATGTACCAATCTTAGAAACTCTGTGTACAATGTTGGACGATAAGAAGACGTACGAAGCAGTGTTTCGCCAAAAACCTAAAATTCAGGGTAATCTACAAGACTACGACGATGGTTTAAAGTTTAAAAAAAGTTCATTTTTCAATCATAAAACTTTAAACATTTTTATCTACCAGGACGCAGCTGAAATGGTAGTCAATGCCCTCGGCAACGCTACATCTCGTCACAAGCTATTGTGTGTTTACATGGTGCTGGGTAACTTGGACCCACATCTGCGTTGCCTCACCGAAAACGTCCAACTTCTTCTGTTGTGCAAAACCAAAGACTTTTCTTGTTTTGGAGGAAACCGAGTCTTTCGAAGATTCATTGAGGATATAAAAGTCTTGGAAGATGAAGGCATCGTTGTACACGGAGGGGGTTTTGCAGAGAGGGTTTATGGGTCAATTTTTACCACTTTGAATGATAACCTTGGCGCTCACCAGCTTG